CCAAACTGCATTTGTTTGAACACTTGGTCCTCCAATCGATGCAGTTCGGGAATGCAGCATATTGGTGGACATACGCGGACGAAGATTTAGTAGGGCGCCTAATCCGCGTAGCACATACAGTTCACCCGAACACGATCGCAGAGTCCATGCTGCGCAAGTGGGCTCACTGCGTTTTCGACGAATTGCTGCTAGATCTCGATGTTGATACATGGAGCTGAGCGGAAAAGTGTCGCGCGCTGCACCCAGATTTATCTAAAAGGCCTTCGGCCCATCCCGCATATCTGAAGGCCGTCGGCCCATCCCGCCACCGTGCTTGGTTTGTGGGTCTTTTGAGGCCTCTTGGGGCGCTTTCTTGGGTAACACAACCCCTGTTGCCCTCTTAGGGCCTGTTGGACCCATGGGCCTGTTGGCTCTCTTGGGGCCTTCTGGGCCCTTCTGGGCCCTCTGGTCTCTTAGGGCCTGTTGGCCCTCTTGGGCCAATTGGGGCCTCTTGGGGCATCTTGGGAGTTTCTTGTGGGTATCTTGGGTGTCCGTCTGTCCTCCTCTATCCTCCTCCTCATCATCATCTTCATCATCATTCTTTTCATCACCATCCTCCCCTTCATCATCAGATTCCTCTATCTACCATTTTTCCTTGTTCCTCCTCATCATCATCATCATCATCATCATTGATTTAAAAGGTACTGCCCGTAAGTGTCGTCAAGACACCGTAAAATCTACGGGGCCCGTAAAATCATGCGGTTGTTGATGCTCGGGGAAGACACAGGACACCGGACACAGGACACCGGGCACCAGACACCAGACACCGGACACGGGCCATTGGACACCGGACATTGGACATTGCAGGACACAGGATATTGGACACCGGAGTGCATTTTCCGGACACCGGACTGTGGACACCAGACACCAGACATACACCAGATGCCCCAACCCTTGCGCCGGACATCGGACAGCAGATACCGGAAACCACACCAGACATCGGTCGCCGGGAGGAAGTCGCTTCTAGGAGGAATTTTGTTTTTTTCCCTTTCCCTCTCTGCTCATCCTTCTTCTTTCGCTCCCCCCCCTGGCTGACCGACCTTGTCCTGCCCAGGCCATCCGAAACACCATAAAAGTGTCAGGTGGTATGTCGGGTGCTCAGTATTGGACAAAATTTAACATTTAGGAAAATGATCCCGAACTTAGGCGCGAGTAAGGGGATCGAACGGTCTTGCGCTGCCCTTGGGCGGGCGGCGAAGGGGGGCCACGGCCCCTTGGTCGCGCAGGCGCAACGTTCAAGCCGAAATTGTTCGGCGTGTCCGTGCACATTTTCCCCATGGGTAGCCTCCTCCTCCTTCTCCTTTTCCTCCTCCTCCTCCTCCTCCTCCCCGCTCCTCCTCCTCCTCCTTTTCCTCCTCCTCATCTTCCTCCTCTTTTTCCTACTGTTTCCTCTCCTCCTCCTCCCCGTTCCTCTTCCTCCTCATTTACATTTCATTTACCAGTTACCATTTCTCCTCCTCCTCCTTTTCCTCCTCCTCCTCCTCGTGTGAATTCGTGCCTTGAAAGCCGTTGTGGCTCAATCATCAGGAGCAGAGTTCACTCTTCACGGGAGAGAGCTTGTTTTTTGGATTCACCCCGATGGGCCGTCACGTACAGTTTTTTCTCTAGCCGCGGCATTGCGGCCACACGCGAGCAGGATCAGTCAACTACACGACAGATATACACATCAAGTGATATGAAAGCGTCCACTGACACTGAGGCGGTGCTTGCGAACAACGAACTGGTGGTGGATTCAATGCAGCTGGATATCCGTGGTGGGTTTTTCGGACAAGGTGATATCGAAGCCACTATCCACCAGGCGCTTTCGGCTGAAGAGAAAGCCAGCATGCTCGACGTCAAAGGCAACCCTACAATCACAATGGCGGCCTTCAAAATCATAGTGATGCTGCGCCACATTCGCAACAGCTTCGACAACGTCCAGCACTGCACCAGAGGCCCACGCGCTCGCGAACATCTCCCAGCTGATCGACAGGGGCGGCAGCGCTGCTGCTGCACAGAAGAAGGTTCGCAAGGAGTCTTCAGGGTCTCAACGTTTCTTCCCCCACTGGAAGAGAGGGGGAGGAAGTTCGGTTCACCGAATCTTCTCCCCCAAGGGCCTAAGAGGAGAGAAGCGCTATGCTATTGAACAGGACGCCAGGCTGGGCGTTCGGCCTCACCCGTTCGTCAACTCCTCCTCCTCCCCCCTCCCCTCTTCCCCCCGTTTTCTTCCTCCTCCTGTTTGTGCCTGGGGTCTGACGCCTTGATGTTCATCGGGCGCATGATTGATGCTGCCTACAACAACCACGGTGGAATGCTCTTGGCCACGTTGGACTCGGCAAAACTTTTTGATTACAGCCAAGCTGCATGTGTGAAGCCCTGCGCCGCTTTGGGCTCCCAGCTGATACGGTGGCTATGATGGCGTTTATTTATTCAGTTCGCTATTCCAATATTGTAGACCACGCAGGGGCCACCTTTTTTGTTCATTGCAGTTCAATCAGCGATTCTGCGCGACGCGCTGAAGGATATTCAGCACGACCTTGACCCAGAGTACGTTGCGACACGGGATATACTGCACGCGGGCGACACACTTATAGCTTCGCAGAGCAGCGTCAACCTCCAGAACATGCTGAACGCGATCGCGACTGAAGGCGTAAAATATGGCCTGGAGCTGAACTGGGAGAAGACATTACACATGCAGATAGACATGTTCAATTATATGTCAGCCGGATGGGGGCGATATCACAAGAGTACGAGACGCAGTATATGTGGGCGGGCTTTTTGCGCGCGACGCAAACGCAGCAGCAGAATTATCACGCAGACTGGGAGAAGCTATTGGGGCGTTCAACTCGCGATCTAAGATTTGCTCGCACTCCTTCAGTCGGTTGAAAGCGCAAATACTCGATGTACGACGCCTGCATTCTCAGTAAGCTCTTATACCCGTTGGATTATATCTGGCGCTTCAAAGTTGCCCGCCAGCGACTGCGCGCTTTCCTTGCCAAATGCGCCAGGTGTCTCCCGGGCACTTCGCGATCGCATCCCCCGAGAGTGAGCAGCGCAGACGTTCTTCAACGAGCGGGCACAACGCTGATTTCGGACACATTGTTTTCAAGACAAGTTAGGCTGCACAAGAAGATTGCCGCATTCTCCGGCACTTCCCTCGCGCGGCGCGCACCCTGCAACGATGGCGGGGCACCGAGGCCAACCATCTCCAAGCGGAAGTGCGGCCGGGCGCTGCAGCAACGGGGCCAAGAAGCACATGAACTGACATTTCGCATGTAGTTTCCCCTCCGCGCCTTCCCTCCCCCTCCCCCGCTCCCCCCCCCGCTTCCTCCAAGCGCGCTGAAGCGAAATTCTGTTGCGGCGCATTCCATGCATGTTTCTTCCTTACGAAGAGTAGCCAACCGCAGTCTCTTCTGCCTACGCGCCCTGCCAGCTGCTTGGCTCTCTTGCGCTCAGCAATTCGCCGTCAAATTCCTCGCCAACTCACCTCAGTTGCAGATCCTCTCCCACGCCGGGAATTCGCTTACAAATTCCTTGCCAAATCCCCATCGGCTTCAGAATCCTTTCTAACCCCCGGCATTTGCTGTCCTCGCCAACCCTACTCAGCTTCAGAATCCGGTCTAACTCCAGGAATTCGAATATCTCGCCAACTCCCCTCAGCTTCAGAATCCTCTCTAACTCCAGGAATTTGCCATCACGTTCCTTGACAACTCCCCTCAGCTTCAGAATCCTCTCTAACCCCAGGAATTCGCTGACAATTTCCTCGCCATTCCCCTTCAGCTTCAGAATCCTCTCTAACTCCAAGAATTCGCTATGAAATCCGTTGCCAACTTCCCTCAGCTTCAGAATCATCTCTAACTCCAGGAAGTCGCTGCCGATTTTTCGACGACCCCTTCAGCTTCATAATCCCCTCTAACTCCAGGAATTCGCCGTCGCATCCCTTTTCCAACTCCCCGCATATTCAGAAATCTTCCGAATGTCAGCAGTTCGCTCTCACATTCTTCGCCAACTCCCCTCAGCTTCAGAATCCTCTCTAACTCCAGGAAGTCGCTGCCAAAGTCCTCGCCAACCCCCCTCAGCTCAAGAACCCTCTGTAACTCCAGGAATTCGCTGTCTGACTCCTCGCCAACTTCCCCTCAGCTTCAGAATCCTCTCTAACTCCAGGAATTCGCTGCCAAATTCTTCGCCAACTCCCCCTCGGCTTCCGAATCCTCTCTAACTCCAGGAATTCGCTGCCAAATTCTTCGCCAACTCCCCCTCGGCTTCCGCATCCTCTCTAACTCCAAGAATTCGCTGCCAAATTGTTCGCGAACTCACCGCATATCGAAAATCTTCTCTGAGTCCCGGAATTCGTTGTCAATTTCCTCGCCACACCCCTTCAGCTTCAGAATCCTCTCCAACTCCAAGAATTCGCTGTCAAATTCTTCGCCAACTCCTCTCGTATTCAGAATCCTTTCTAACCCTAGGAATTCCATTCAATTTTCCCTCAGATTCGGAGTCCTGCATATTTCCAGGAAGTCGCATCCTAATTCCTCGCCGATTCCGGGAAGATTCAGAATCCTCCCTGGCTCTGGGGACACGCATTCAGATTCTTTTCCACCTCCCGTTTCAGAATCCTTTTTTGCTCCCCAGACCCGTGTACAAATTAATGTTTCTTAAATTCCTCATGGAGGTCCCGACGAAAACTTGATTCGAATACATTGGGTTTCAAAAGCGCGAAGTTATGCGCGCATCGCGCTTCGCGAGCCTCTCGCTTTATCCTGGGGGGTTCGGCGCAAAAGCGCGAAATGCTTCGCGCTTCGCACAGCGCGAAACGCGAAGTTGGGAGCCCTTGGATGCCGCAGATGCGTTTGGAGCCAGAATCTCTCCACACCGGCACCGCCGATGCATCGCCGACGTCGCCGATGCATCAGCGATGCATCGCCGATGCATCGGCGATGCGCCGCGATCCTCCAACCCCATTTGGGAGGTCTCCAGAGGAGCACGCCCTGTCGGCCATGCGGTTCGTGCTGGCGGTGCTGGAGCTGGCATGGCCCTCGGTCTCCAAGGACGAAGACGAAAAAATGCATAAACACTAGTTGTAGCCAGCGTGGACCTCAAATAGTGATATCTTCCAATAAATGCGGTGCAATCTAGGTAGTGCAATATACTTGGTCCAAGCCACGTGGTGCAATCTATGCGACACGCAAAGCATTGCAAGCAGTACAATGCAGTGCAAAGCGATGCGAAGTAGTGCAAAGCAAGGCAAAGCAAATGCAAAGTAGTGCGGCGACGGGCGGCGACAAGCTGGCCAGACCGCCATTGGGGCCCAGCGAGGACGGCGGCGACGATCGGCGACGAGCCGGCCAGACCAACATTGGAGCCCAGCGGCGATGGCGGCGACAGACAGCGACGAGCCCGCCGGACAGATCGACATTGGGGCCCAGCTACTCTAGAATATAAGTAGAAACCCCTGAGTGCGTGCAGTGTTTCGGGAACTTTCGGAGGTCCCCCCGGATTTCTCGGATCGGCGCTGCACCCCTCGAACTTTGCGCGGAGCGCGCCAGAGGCGCCGCCAGGGGGTCCTGACGCCGATCCGAAAATACCGCGCGGAGCTCCGAAAGTTGATGCTTGTGCTGTTGTTCTCCCTTTGCTCCGTGGGCGACTTGTACGCACCCTACTGCGTCGGCGTGGCCCGAGGCGTCGTCAATCCTCAACCCAGGAGTGGTACGGCACATCGTCTCTCGGCCCACAGAGGCCAAAAAATGTGCACCGTACCACGTTGGAGTGGGGCCCGAAGGGAGTCCAAACATGGCAAGGTGCAAAGGCGCCGTTCTCACCTCTGCGAGGGCCTGCGGGATGTGGCCACCCCGCGGGCGGAGCTGGACGCGTGCCAGGGCGTCGTCGCCAGGCTGAGCGCGTTGTTCGCAGTGGTCAAGAGCTTGACGAGGTCGGTGCGCGTCTCCAGGGCCAACGGGCCACTCCCGTCGGTGTGCAAGCAGCTGCGGAGCGCGCTGGAAAGCGCCTTGGCGGCCGAGGTCGTCGGCGTCGTAGGTCGTCGGGGTCGTGGTCGCTGGCGGGGGCGACGCTGAAGCCAGGAATATGGCGACGAGATATACACAGATCCGCTGCTCCTGGCCAGGCCCATCCTGGGCACAGGAGCGGTGTATACGCCCTCGTGGCTTGGCCAGGGAGGCATACACACCGCTCCTGGGCCCAGGATGGGCCTGGCCAGGAACAATGGACATGTGTAGATCGCGTTGCCCAAAGGGAGGGGGAGGTTCGGTAGCAAATCATGGGAGCCTTGTGTACCCTAGTAATTCAGTTATGTTGGGGCGCTTGCGTCGATTCGCGTCTGGTCGTCGGTGAGATAGCGCCGATTTAGAGTCCATTCGATTAGCGTCGGCTAGCGTCGATGCACAAGAGCCAGCAATGATATGGGAGGCGCCGCTGGCGGCGACGACGCTGAAGCCAGGGAGGGGGAGGGCAGCGCAAAATCGGTGCCTGGACCCCTCCCGGGGTCCGCGCACCACTATTTCGAGCGGCGTCCAGTTGTGGCGACGAGATGGCCCCCCGAAGGCCACCCACTGTTGTCTCAACTCGTCATCCTCTGATCGCCCAGAGGAACACAATGCGGCCTTAACAAAGTATCTCAGTGTCCGCGCGGATGTCTTGGATCGGTGTTGGTCCTCCTTGGCGGCCGAGGTCTGTCGTAAGTCGCCGTGGTCGTGGTCGCTGGCGACGACGATCCGAGGAGGGCGAGCTGAGACGACGGTAGAGTAGGTTCATGTCGTTTCGACGCGGCGACGACCCCAGCGCGGGCGTTCAAGGTTGAACGTCGCCAGTGGCCAAGAATCGACCAATTTGGAACGAGTTGGTGATCGAGAAACCGCCGATTTGGCGATCGAGAAACCGCGCGCATTTCTTGGATCGGCGTTCGGCCCCCTTAGCGGCGCCTCCAGCGCAGCCCCCCCCCCCCCCAGCGCGCTCCGCGCGCAGGGAGGGTCCAGCGCCGACCCAAGAAATCCGTAGGGACTTCAGAGAAAATGTGTTTATGCAGTTTGTTGTTCTTCTGAACGACTAAAGATGGCGAGCTGGGACGACGCCTCTACAAGCTTGCAGTTCAGCCAGGTAGTAGAAAGTTCCTGCAAGAAGCTATATCAAGAGTCACCAGGAGGAGAGGCCAAGTCAGCGGCTGGAGTCAACCAGGCGCCTGACGCGGCCGCCAAAAAAACATGTGTCTCGTGCCATCCAGCCTTCAATACATCAGCGCTGCAGCAGATCAGACACACTGTTGCAACGGCCAGAACTGTGGCCACTTCTGCACCAAGAGTGCTCGCCCCGTGCCAGAGAGATAGGCACAAGAGCGAGCGTTCTAGAGCGTCAGAAACCGGACCCACAAAGCAGCTCGCGCAAGGGAGTCAAACGTGTAAACCACTGCTGTCGGCCTTCAGCAAAGGCCTCGTGAGCATGCACACATCTCACAGTTGCTGATCTCAGCGAAGTCCCAGTTTTCTCTTGCATGCGATGTGGTTGTTATCATCAGTGCGCGTTCGGTCACTTGCTAGTGGCTAGTGATGTGTTCTGGCAGGCCCACAGTCTGGGGGAGCAGGATGCATGCACTTCGTCGCCTGCTAGCGTGCACGCCCGTTTCAGACATGACATGTCCGCGCCTCAGCGTTACAACACTGCTGAGATTCGTGCCTCACAGGTTGCCCAGCGTGAAAGAGCGGTGAACAGGCCTGCGGCCCAGGTCAGCCTCAGCCGCCACCGCGTGTTTGTCGGAGCGAGGCGCATGGGCTCCGCCTTGTCCCGAGTGGCTCGATTTCTGCGTTTCGGCGTTTTCACCGCTCTCGGGTTTTCTTTTGGCACGCTCGCGGTGCCAGCTTGCCTCAGCGTGCACGGCACGCGGGGGGCAAGTCGCATTCGTGCGTTGCGCTGAGCCTTCACAGCTGTGGAGCCCAAGCGTGGTGCAGATGGCAGGCCAGAGGCTGATCGCCCATGGCCTGACGGGGGAACAAGATGCTGAGACGAAGGCAGTTGTTCTTCGGGGGGCCCTCTGGTCACACCCCTGGAGCTCCAGCGTCCAGACCCCTCCCAGGACCGACTGTTCATCCCGAGTCGGTTTTTGAACGGTTTCGGGGCTTGGCGAGAGCCTCCAGAGGCCGAACATCTCCAACAAAAAATAATCCCCTCGTATCCTCCACGGCCAGACCTTCACATCCGCCGATCTGATGTTCTAAACTCCGCGGCCCGAGGGGTTCGAAAATGGCTTGGCGAAGGACCCAATCATATGCAGCTGAGAGTACCGCAGTTGTGGGTATCGTCTTCGATGGAGCCCCCGTATGGGCCACGAAACGTTTTAGTCGGTGGGGGGGGGACGCATGCGGGCGGTAGCGCTGGGGACTTCTGTGGAGCTCCTTATCGGGCCACGAAACGTTGGAGTCGGCCGGGGGGGGGACGCATGCGGACGGGAGCACTGAGGCCGTCGGTGGAGCTCTATCGCTGTACTGGGTGGTGGGGACGCATGCGGTCGGTAGCACTGGGGCCCTTCGGTGGAGCTCCATATGGGGCCACGAAACGCTGTACTGGTGGGGGGGACGCATGCGGAAAGTACCACTGGGGCCTTTGCTTTGGTGGAGCTCCATATGGGGCCACGAAACGTGTGAGGGGCGTGCCAGAATGGTTGATCGGTGCGGAAGGCACAAGCACGGATGGGAGGAGGGAGGGTGAAGAGCAGGAAGAGGGAGGAGCGCTGGGCGCTGTCTCGTCAGAACGAGGACCCAACACCACCGGATGTTTGGGAATCATAGCGGCGGGCATCTGGGAGAGGAGGCTTGGGACATACCGAATTTCCCTCTCCGCCTCCCGACAGGGCCGCGTCCCTGGGCGCGCACCGCCCGCAGCGCAGCCGAAGGCCGCGCCCGCCGTCTGTCGACGTTTTCGTCGCCGCCGTTGCGGTCGACGTCCTGGTCGTCGTTGCCAGAGCCGACGTCGACGTCTTCGTCAAGCACGATTCGGGGCTTTGCTATGTTCTTGCTCGCTGAAGCACTTGACAAGTGTGCGGAGCCACACCGTCAATGCCACGTTGTCCCGTGGCTTTGGTGCGCTTCTGCTCTGAAGGTGCGCCGCTTGAGACGGCGGAAAGTCTGAGAGATCCATCCAACAAGTCGCCCACGCCACGTCGACGTCTTCGTCGTCGCCGCCGCCGCCGCCGCCGCCGCGGCGCAGCCGAAGGCCGTGCCCGCCGGCGGCACCCGCCTACGCTGCGGCCAGCGCGACCCCGCGGCGCGGCTCCCCGCCGCGCGAAGCGCGGCCGCGGCCGCGCGCGAGCGCCCGGCCGCCGAGACGGAGCTCTGAGCGGCGGCGGCCCACCGCGGCCGGCCGCCGCCAGCGGCGCGGCCGCGCGCGAAGCGCGGCCGCGCCGGGGCGGCGCGCCGGGGCGGTGCGGCCACGCGCGAGCGGACGGGCCGGCGGGGCCCGCCGCGGCCGTCCGCCGAGCCGAGTGCCGCCGGGGCGGCCTTCGGTGAGGGCAACAAAAACTGCCATCGTGGGAACGGGGGGGGAATGGAGGAAAAGAGAGGAGGAGGAGGAGGAGGAGGAGGAGGAGGAGTGAGTGATCTGTGATACGCTCCAGCTCAGCGGCTTAAGTTCGCCCAGCGTTGAAATGCATGGAGGGAGGGGAGGAGGGAGGAGGAGGAATGGACGACATGGAGGAGCAAGGGAGGAGGAGCAGCAGCGGAGCCCCCTCCTCTCGGCGGGCCGCACGGAAGGGTGGAGCGAGGGTGGGGGTCCAGCGGAGTCGGGGGCGCTACGCGCACCCAGTCGAGACCTCAGCAGCTCGTTGGGTGGCTGCGAACTGCGCAAGTGTCGCCACTTTCGTGGGCTCCTCGGAGGCACGGCGGGGTCGGGAGCCACGCGCACCAGCCGAGGTTTCGCTGCTCCCTGGGTGGCTGCGAACTGAGCAACTGGCGCCAGGTTCGTGAGCTCATGGGCGGTGCAGCCGAGTCGGGGGCCACCTGCACCCAGACGAGACCTCGCTGCTCCTTGGGTGGCTGCGAACTGCGCAGTTGTCGCCACTCTCGTGATCTCCGGAGAGGTTCAGCAGAGTCGGGAACCACGCGGATCCAGCTGAGACCTCGCTGCTCCTTGGGAGGCTACGAAATCCACAAGCATCGCCATTTCCGCAGGTTTATGGGAGGCACGGCGGAGGTGAGGGCAGCGCAGATCGTGCATGATTGGCGATGTGTTCTTCCGCATGGGGCGTTCAGGCAAACATTCGCCTCGCGTCGAGAAGGGGGTTGGGCACGTCTGGTGTAGGGATGGTGGGCGAAGTCATGGGCGCCCTCTTGTGTCCGGGTTTGCTGCTGGTCGGGTGGGGGAGGGGGTTGTTATTCAATAGGGAATATTGGTAAACCCTTCCCCCGAGCAAGGGAAGAAGGGCCTTGGTAGAGGGAAGTAAACAATTCGTGATACCACCTTCGCCAAGAGGGCTGTAGGGAGTCACAAGGTCCAGGATGGGTCCCAGCACCGACCTCGAAGTCGCAAGGGACCCTTGCAAAAAGAGAAGGAGGGGTGCGAGAGGACAGAAGAATTGGGCAAGTGAGAATGCGAGGGAAGTGATGCAGCTGCACGCTAAGCTTCTTTTGGGCAGCTGCTAATCTCCAGGCCCCGGAGGGGAAGTCTCTGTCATAGGAGACAGAAAACTTGCAGTTAGTTTGTCGCATGCTACGTAAGTGCAGCTCAACTCCGTGTCCGGGAAGGGTCCGAGGGTCGACCTCAGAAGTTTGGGAGGTTCTCTTGCGAATGAAATGAGGTGGAGGGGAGGAGGAGAAGGAGGACGTGAAGATGGATGACGAGGAGGTCCAGCTCAAATACACGTTTGTCACGTGCAGCTGGAATTCCGGGTGTCCTGGAGGGTTCCGAGGGCCGACTTTGGAAGGCCTTGGACCCGTTCTTACTTTTAAAGCGGACTTTCTCGCAAAAAGCGCGCGTTTAGTTCTAGTTGGGTAGATATGACAAGCGTGGTTTGCCCCGATCGTTGTTTCGGTGTTCTCGCCGTACTGGCGGAGAGGAGGAGGACGAGGGCCGAGGCAGATGACAGATTCTAGTGCCGAGGATAGAGGCCAGCGGAGGGAGGACAGAGATTTGAGGACGGGCGTCAGGAAGACAGGTGGAAGTGCAGGGAAGGGGAGAAGCAATAAGAGAGGGAGAAATAGGAGTCAATTGTATGTCCTTGTCGTGTGTTCCTTGCTTCGCAGGCCCTTCCCCTGCTCTCCTCCTCTTCTACGTTCGTCTTCTTTTTATTCGTACTGAGATTATTATTCTTCCGGGATTCCGTACCCTGTCGTGTTCGTTTTTCGTTGCGTCCGTCTTGTCACGTTGGTTCCGTTTCTTTCCCTCATGACCTGTCTCTCTTGCATGAATTCAGTTTCCTCATTCGTATCTTCCAACCGGTCTCGTTATCTCTCTCCCTCCCTCCCTGCCTCTCTCCTCTCCTTCCGTGCCAAATCCCTCCCCGAATTTCCACTTCATGCTCCGTCCGTCGCTGCCTCCCTAGGGTCTAGTCGCACATGCGAAGATCGGGGTCGTGATTACAGCATCTTCACGCTCAGCACCAGGGAGAAGGATGGGGGGGGGCGTTGACCTGGGTGCTGCAGCATGAGGAGGAGGGAACGAGGAAGGACAGGGGCGGGGGAGGAGCGAGGAGCAGGATGGCGGCGAGGAGCAAGAAGAGAGAGCCAGTGAGGAGCAGAGAGAGAAGGATAATCAGCATGATAAGGTAGCATGGTGGAGGACACGCAGGAAGGGAGCTTGGGTGTTCGATCATGGAGCCCTTGTTAACCGCAGCCGTCCAGCTTTCACGCCGGAGACCGCCGGAGGAAGCCGCCGAAGGTCGCCGACGACCATGAGAAGACCGCCGAAGACTGTCCGAGGACCGCCGAGGACGGCCCAGGAGCCATGGGCAACCAGGATCCATGGCCGAACACGTGGAGCCGACCGGGGCGCTCCGCTCAGAGCGCCCTCCGCCACGGACCGCGGGCAGGGCTGCACGGCAGCGGTGCCGCGGCCGGCGGAGAGCGGGGCGGCGGCCGGGCCAACATGGCGGCAGAGGCCGCGTTGGGCTCGGCAGCTCCGAAGGCCGCAGAGCTCACGGGCCTTCGCTTTGCTCGCGGGGGCGCTCTTCGCCCGGGGAGCGAGCTCCGTTCGTTCGTTCCTCATTCCGCCGTTCGTCGTCCATCCAGCTCTCGCTGACAATCCTGGTCCCAGCCCCCCTCCTCCTCCTCCTCCTCCTCCTCCTCCTCCTCCTCCAGCCGTTCTGGCGCAGGTTTCTTGCGGCCCTGCGTGTGTTGACGCCAACTTCAGAGCGGCATTTGCGTCAACGGGCCTCTCTGGCTCGGTCGTAAAGCAATCAACGTTCGCAAGATCCCGTCCCACAGTCATGGCGCGAGTTCCACGTGGCCGTGGCGGACGGAGTCTGCTATACATGATAACAAGGGCGATTGGGAGTGGCAGTGGCCGTCCAATCGCAAGAAGAAGAAGCCTGCCACAGGCCCTACGATCAAATGCATCACCTGCGGCTGCGGCAAGAACGAGCAGAATGCCCGCTTCTGCAAACATTGCCACAGAACCCTCCGGAAGGTCTCCACGGCAAAGCCGCCGGGCGCCCAGGGTGTATGGGCTGATGTGCCGCCAGGCGTTTTTCTGCCTGCTGATCGCCAACCTCCAGTGCTGGGCGGCTTGGCTAGCAGTGCCATTGGAGGAGCAGCTAACGGAACTAAGGGCGGTGGCAAAGGTTGGCGGGGGCAAGGGAGGCCTGGCGGTGCCCTTGGCGGCCGGCGCGGTGCCACAGCTCTCCCTTCAAGATGCCACTCAACTCGCAGAGCTGTCACGAAAGGCTGGCGACCTGGCTAGCGCAGAGAAGTACGGCCAGCTCGCGCGCAAGCTACACGACGAGGCTCATCCAGCGCAGGTCCCCGTGCACCAGCGAATGCAGCAGAGCCATGAGGAGATGGAGCGTGCTGAGCGTAAGCTTTGTGAATAGCTGGGCCGACTCGAGAAGCGCCAGCAGGACCTCGACAACCAGTATCGGTACATCGAGCTACTGCGTCAGAAGCTCCAGGAGGCTGACGATACCTACAAAGCAACCTCGACGAGCTCCAGCTGTCGTGCGGTTCCAGTCCTAGGCCCGAGCCCAGCTCCGCCACCAGCACGATCAAGCTGTCGGACATGGTGGACCCGAGCTTCGATTTGGGCAAGATCATCGAGCTTGACGGGCCGGTTGCGGACGCCAGCTTGGAGAGCGAGATGGCTCCCGAGGACCTCAAGGAGATCGAGGACCGGCGCGGCCAGCTCGGCGAGGCTGTCCAAAAGTTGGCCGAGGAATTGCTCGGCCCGCTGGCGGGACAGGCCCGGCCCGAAAAGGGGCCTCACAAGGCCCACATGCAGCGCCTGGCCGCCAGGAGGCGCCGCGCTGGCGCTCCTCAGCACGGCGCTGCTGCTGCAGGTGGAGGAGATGTTGGCGCGGCCCCCCCCCCCACTGAAGGCGGCCTTGCCGCCCCGCAGTCTGAGCCAGCCACCTCTGCTGCTCGCCCGAGCGCTGACGCGCGGCAGCGCGCAACGGAGGTCCCCCAGCCCCGCCCCCGCCCCCCCGCAGCGGAGGTTTCTGCTGCGGGGGGGAAGGGCGCGTTAGAATGAGTCCGCATGTCCAGCCAGTCCGCAGCAAGGCCTCTTCCGAGCCCCATCGTAGCGAGATCTTTGAGCGCACGAGGTTGCTACCTCAGTTCGCCGTTGGGTCAAGCTTCGCAGGCAGTGCGCGGGGTCTCTGCGCGGCGCCGAGGACGCCTTTGATCGGCCGGCGGGGCATCGCGCGCCATCTCATCAAGCGCTGCGTTCTCTTCGTTTTTGTTGACCCCCTGCGGGGACGCGCCGCGCCGCAATATTCTGGTTCATCAGATTTTGGCGGCGCTGCCTCTCGCCATTACGGTCGCAACAATGGCGACAGTGATGCCGGCCATCGTGCGGCGGCCAGTCTCTCCCCCTTCCGCCCCCCCCCCTCTCGTCCTCCTCGCATTCCTCCTCCGGGCGCCTCGGCGATTCCATCCGAGGCCCTACCCCGGTTTATTCTTGGCCGGACGGATTTCTCGCCCAGCGCGCCCCCGCCCGCGCCTCGGCAAGCCGGCAGTCCTGCGTGGCCGTTGGCAGGGGCCCCATTGCCGCAGCCAGGTTGGCCTTCCTTTCTTTGGGTGCCTCGTTCCCTCTCCAGCGGCGCGCTGCTTCCTGGCCAGGCGAGTCCGCCGGTCTTCCCCCCATTGTTCGCCCGCGGCCAGCCCTGGACATTCGTCTTTCAAATTAAGCGCTCAGGCGGTCAACGCTTCATCCTGGAGAACCGAAGAAGGAGAGGGCCCCATGAAGCGGCTGCCACGCGACACCGCGAACGCGTTTTTGATTCAGGGGCGCCATCTTCTCGAGCCAGACATCGACGACGCCGCGGCGTGGGCTCGACAACACTGTCGGCCCGCTTTGCTTATGCCCGCTGCTCGGGGAGTCGGTCACGGGACCTCAGGAGGCGTCGGCGCCACGATGCGGATCGGGATTGAGTTGCATCGCCCCGGGCTTCCCGGGCCTCGCCTCGTCGAGCCGTACCGGGCAGTTGGAGGCATCATTAACGCCCTTGGCTGTGAAAGCTTTTCGCGGCTAGCACGCATCTGTGGGATTCTGAAGATCTCACAGAAGCAAACGTTTCTATTCCGGCGAAGGTTGGGGCCCTTGCGGAGGAGGCCCCCTTGCCATCGATTTTGGGAGGCGATTATAACTGTAGACTTGAAGCGCCGCAATCTTCCGGCATGGCGCCTCGACTTCGAGGTCAGATGATCGTTCCCAAGGATGCCATGGGAACTCGCGGGGCCAACATCCTGGATTTCTTCCTGGTGACCGGCGGCCTGGCAAAGGGTGGGCAGAGCATTTCCGCCATCGCGACCTCGAACATCACCCCGCAAGTTCCGGCGCAGATGGACTTCCACGCCGGGCTCGGTCTTCTCCACGGGCTTGTTTTTTTTTTTTTTTTTTTCCCGGAAGCCCCATCCGACCCCCGGGACCTGCGCCAGAACCTCCATCCTATGATCGCATGATTGACGCCGCTGAGCGGCTGCAGCAGCAGCGCAAGGAAGGCCAGGTGCAGCCGGTGCAGGAGGCTTTGGATCTCCCCCACAAGCAATGGACATGCCTCGCCGAGAAGGAGCTCTTGGGAACTAGGCGCATCGCCCTCCCCTTCATCGGAAGTCGAGGTAAAACCCCCCAGACGCATTGGGTTGACATCTTGGCCCAGGACAAACAAGCCCCCATTCGTAAAACTGATTTCTTTTTTTTATAAAATGGTTGATTTCTAAGTTTCGACTCCTCCTTCAGTTGTCGGCTGTTCAGGAAGACTCTGATCAGGTCCGCGAGTTGGTCCTCCTCCTGCAGCCGCCGCCCGACTTCGTCGCCAATGGGATGGCAGCGCACGCGCGCTGGCATGAACGCGCCAGATCAATTGCCCCCCCCCCCCCGCCGTTGGGCATCGCCCAGGGGGGGGGGGGATTCTTGGGGCCCATCGAGATTTATGTGAACGGGTTCGCTTCCAAGTCCAAGGCCGATGCCATCAAGGATTGGAAGATTTGGATTCTCGGGTCGGTGGATAGGGGGGCTCGCAGGGCTCATCAGCAGCTTCGGGAACTGACCACTGGGAGCCCACCACCACGCTCAGTTGTGATGGGTCTGTCGTGTCCGATCCTTTGGCGCCCCTGGATTCCGAGGCTCAGAATCTCAACAAATTTTGGAAGGCGTCCGGGCCCCGTACCCCTGACCGAACTTTCGAGTATATGGAGTCCTTCCCCGAACTCGAACCTGATGCGCTCAGGTCTTTGAGTGGGCGACACGCCGCCCGCGCGGCAACTGCGGTGGACGGGTTCCACATGAAGCGTTATTGCTGGCCTTTGGTGGGACTTGCCAAAATGATGAGCATCATGGAGTCTTCTGCTTCGTCCCCGATCCAGATCAGCGTAGTTCTCATGGCGGTGCTCAGTAAACCAGCGGGCGGATTACGTCCCATTGGGGTTTTCTGCGGCCTCTATCGTTTATGGGGCCGTCGCAGGGTTTCACCCCAGCGCTGCCGCGGACGTTGTTTGGCGCCAGGGGGCCCGCAGTGAAGCGGCTGTGCGATCTGGGGAGGCCTCCGCCACGTTGCTTTGGGACTTATACAAATGCTACGAGCTCGTCGACCTTCGCGGCCCTCTTGAGCGCCGCTGGCAACGCAAGTTCCCCATGCAGTTCGCTCGCCTGGCGGTCAGTACTTACAGGTTCGGTAGATAGATTTGCATGACGGGTGTTGTTGTCGGTGGCTTATTCGTGCAATGCGGCGCGGTCGCATGCGGCTGCTTAGCAACAGATTCTCGTTCACGCTACTCCTGCGCTGGACAGCATTCGCTCCCCGACGCGGGTTACTCTGGGCGTCTACATCGAAGACTACGGGCTGAGCTCCATCTGGACCGTTCGGGGAGCGATTCAAAATTTAGGTTCCACCGCCAAGGAGCTCCAAAAGGCGATTGCTGAAGATATGGGAGCTGCGATTTCCGAGGACAAAGCTTCCCTGGCGTCGTCGTCGTGATCTGTGGCTTCTGACTCCGGCCCCATTTGGAGACCGTGCTGGGCCTGTTCGTTCTTCGGCGGTCAATCTGGGGATCGACGACACCGCCGGCAGGCCTCGTCGCGCGGCCGGGCGCGGCGCAAAATTCGGCGCCAGGAGGCGCATTTGAAAGAATCACGCAAAACGGCGCGCGCATTTCAAGCGAGCTTTCGGACATCGCGCCAGCACCGCAGGACCTATGCCGAGCTTCACCACGGCGCGGAGGCGCGCGGCCTCTCCACAGCCGAGTGGCGCCAGCTGCAGGTTGCTTCCGCCAGCGCCACGCAGCCTTCTGCGGGATCTCGCGCACGCGCGTCAGTGCTCATTCTGCATGGGGTACCTGCATGACACGGTGGCTCTGCTCCGATCGCGCGGCGCGCCGAGGAGATTTGGCCCAGCCAGGCCCGCCTCTACCCGCGCGTGGCCCCTCGGGGCGAACTCCGAGACTCCCCGGCCAAAGTTTGCCACCAAGACGGGCCGTCGACGTGGAGGGGTGCTTCGAGCCCCCTGAGTGCGATGAAAGTTCCTTTGCAACGCTTAGGATGGTCGATGCCATCCTACACAGTTATCCTCGACGATCGGCATTGAAATACCCCTCACTGAAGTGTCTCCTGGAATGATGTGCAAACTCGTGCGCGCTGCGGCTATGCAAGCGCATGCACGAACGCGGGCACGGTTCCAAGCTTTTGCCTGGCATTCCAGGGGCACGAGTTTGTCATGACACTGTTTCGGCTGATCCCAGGCTTCCCGGCGCACCAGGCACCAGAAAGATTGCATCGCATCGGCGTCATGTTCGGCGGTCTGGACTCGAGCACAGACGGAGCAGGCAGGCTACGACGTCGACGACTTGCGCGAGCTTTGCCCGGAGGGCAGGGACGCCATCTTGCATGGGCCTTGGCGATGCACGGCGGTGCAGACCCGGCGCGAAGAGTCTCTGTCCAGGCTCAAAGGCGGATTCGATATGTTCCCTCCCCCAGATCTTTCTGAAGCCCAGGAGGAAAAAATCCTCGTCTACACCAGGGGATTGTTTCGACACCCCGGCGACGTGCTGCCCCGCCCTGCCCGCGGCGATACTGATGACCATGGTGTTGAGGTTCGCTGGAAGGAACCCAGAGAAAACGAGTTTCGAAGATTTGCGGGGACATCCATTCCTAAACAATCCAGGGCTGGCTGGGGGGCGGTATTAATAGATGATGAGGCGAACGAGCTCGCCCGCTTTCGTGGGCCAATCTGGGCGCCGCACCCTCAAACGGCCTAGGCAGGTGAGGTCGGCGCCTGCGCTGTGGCCGCAATGCGCGCCCTTCGAGGTCCCTCCATGTTTTCCGATTGCAAGAACGTAGTTGTTCAACCGAATGAGCCTTCAGTCCGAGCGTTGTGCTAACAGAGACCTCATGCGGGTTTTTCTGCTTCCTACTCACCGCAAGGTGGTCGACGGCGTTTGAAGGTAGGAGCCCGCGTTGCCGATTCGCCAGATTCAAGCACGCGCGAACATTTCCTCGGGGAAGGGAATGATTTGGCGGACATTGTCGCCAAGAGCACGCTGTCTAGACACCCTCAGCCCAACCTTGAGGAGACGCAATGGCTCGACCGCGTGCTGAGGGCACCCAAAGCGGTTGTCAATCTTTCTTGCGACGCGATGCCCTCTCGGCCCCGCGCGAAACTGAAAGGGGCTGCGTTGGAGAAGCCAGCGGAACCCAGTCAGCCCAAAATGATTGGTCCAGCCCAACGTTGGGTGCGCGTTTCAAGCTTCTGGCAGTGTGAAACTTGTTGAAGGGTTTCCAAAGGCGTCAAGGCTCAAGAGTCGTTGGGCCCGAATCGCCTGGAGCCCCCGCCCCCCGGCGCCTGCGCCAAGCCTCCCCCGATTGACCCGAAGGCCATTGTCTTTCGGAAGCACCGTTGTTCAGCGCTCGTTTGCCGTGAGAACGCGTTGCCGATCGTGCGCGCGAGATGTACAGCATGCACCAGCCACGGCCATCCTGGGAACCTGTCTGGGAAATGTCACGGCGTTCCGCTGCCCAATGGAGCCACTTGGTCT